AAACTGTGTAAAAAAAAATATAAATATATATAAAAAAGATATACAATATCAGACCATAATTCACCTTAAAATCTCAATCCAATAGTTTATTTGTCATGAACAAAATCTTGTTACTAACTATGCAGCCATATTTGCCTAAATGTGATGTGGCTCTAATCAGTATTTTTACAATTTGTACTTAGAATGATCAACAATGAATGTACTTTGTGATTTTATAGTGTAAACTCATTGTTTGGATATCTACCCATAAATGGTCTGTTTCTTTGTTCATTCTCAATCCTATCAGTGTGTTGTTTTCAGCTGCAGCTGTTTTCAGAAAAAGCTCTTTAAAAAAAAAAATTGGTTCATTACCTGCTCAGCATCAAAAAGAAGACAGACACATACTGTAGCAACAAGCGAGTGAACACAGGGGAGAATTGAATAGCTAAAGAGCCAGGTATTACCCATTAGAGTTGATAAAGACCATACAATAAAGCTGAAAGAGAGAGATACTGGACTCCCAGTCACAGAAATACAACTCCAAATGAAAAAATATTTTGCTTTTTAACGGCATGTTGTGTGAATGAGTAACTGTTTATTTTAGCAGCTTCTCTGTATAAACTTAAATGTGAGAATGTAAATCTAACAGTTACGCAATATCACAAGAGCCTGAGGGATGTTGTACTGAAAAAGCAGCAAACTGTGATTCAGAGGCAGCAGACAGAGTGTCAGAGATAATCACACCATGCTGCTATCTTCAACAACAACTTGACCTCAAAGTGTGATACTGCCTTTATTCAACAGATGGACATGCAACATATTTTAGTCGTTCCTCTGATACTGTCTGAATACTTACATACCTTATAGGATCAAATGATGGCTCATATAGGGAATCACTGTAGAAGACAAGATCGATTCTCGTATTTAAGCTTTGATATTGATGAGCCTCATGTGATTTTCCAGATTCTGATGATGGAGTGAAGATCTGCAACCCTTAAAATGAATAGATTAAGGTTAGCACCAAACTATGGCCTCATATTATCATGAAAAAAGCATTCCATACTGTATTGTGGATTTTACACCCCACCTTCCTTCAACACATACTCGCGCACATACACATGGACAAGGACAAACTTCCCTTAGAGAAAGTTGCTCTCACATAGATGCATGCCTTTGCACAATTTGCATCTGAATGCAAACTTTTGTTGGTAAATTCAAGGGTCCTTGGAGATTTTGCACATTCTGTTCAGAGGGAGGCAGGCCAATGGGAACAAAGTCACACATTAGCGAAGCCCTGCCAGCCTCAATTATGACCAAAGGGATTGGCTTGATAGTGTTGCAGCGAGCCACATTCAGAACTGGATGTGTCTATTTAAACTTTCCTGGCCACTTACTTTGTGTTTTTCAGCACAGGAATACAGATGACGGCAAATTCCTGCATGGGGATTGATGCAGAAAGGAGGTTCTCTACTACCACATTCTGTTTTAGTCTCATCTGTTCTATATGCCAGGCATGGTCTGTGAATCTAGTTTCCATGATTGGGAGAAAAAAAATCCATCTGCAATGGAAGTGCTCAGGCTTTGTTCTCTCCACACTCTTGTGCCTAGAGGTTCTTTTCCTCTCTCACACTTTCTCCATCGTTCTTTCCTCTATCTCGCTCCGTCTCAGAACATCGGTGATGCAGAATCCAGAGGTCTAGCTTCAAGATTGTGTGCTCTCGCCTCCATATTTCACAAGCGTTACGAGACACAGTTTGATTAAATTGCAAGTGTATGCCATGACTCGTCCTCCTTCAATATGTAATAAATGTCTTATTTCTCCCCTGCTTTTCTCATATTCTGTCTGTGTTTCGTGCCTTCTCTGGGCTCCAGATTGGATGAATCAGACTTTATGCCTGTTTTAAAGTCCAAGGTGTTTTATTAATAGAGAAAAAAACACATTAATGCCTCTACAAAGTCTTTGTAAGATTTATCAAGCACCTTCCCTTCTCTGCCTCACTCCAGCTGTAATACTTGAGGTACAGATGTGCTGTAGAGCAGTGTAACACATCTGTCTGTTTGTTCTGGTGTGTGTTTTCATCCCCGCACTCTTGCCACCGTCTTAACCATCCTGCCCATGCTGTGACATGGCTAGCTCTGTTGTCACTGCATTTATAATTCAGTCATATCAATAAAAGATGGACGACATTAAGTTTTTATCCGATGATGCAGTGCTGCTGTCTCTTGGAGCCTCTTTACAAGCGAATGAATGATGAGCAAAACTTTCCTTCTCTGTTCTGACTTCCAGGCATCACTTGGCATTAGAATAACCCGAGATGATCCTTGTTTCTCCAACATGCTTTTAGAATCTTATTCCCTATGATCTCATATTCTGCTAGCCTGCTCGCTAGCTCTTCCTCTCTAAGCCCCGAGCCTTTAATGAGTTTTGCTGAGAGTTATATTTACTCATGTTGTCTAGCGCTTCTGTCTAAATGGCAAAAAAATTCTCTTTCATTCTGTGTTGTCGGGCTGAATCAGCAATGTCGTTTCACATCACACTTAGTGGAAAAATGCTGATGTTGGCAGTGCTCTGTCAGGAAAACAAGCTTTAAATCATCCCAGGTTACTGAAACAACATGGCGTGCCTTATTTTATTGATGCATACAAACCATCACATTGGTCATGTTGTTCAGGCTGAGAATAATTTGGCTAAGAACTGTCGTTTTTTCCACGGTTGTCCATCCCTGTTTATACACACATTTTGAAAGAATAATGGCTTCTGTCTGTTTGGACGTTATGGTTTCCTGTGCCTTTTTTCTTTGCGGTTTCATGTAGCATCTGCCGCCCGGAAAGATAAACAATACGTGTAGATAAAAGAGAGCGGGAGGCAACAAACTGAAAAGAAAGGACTGTATGTGTCAGTTAGAGCTGATAAAAGCCTGAAAATCCAATTAGTCCTCAGCATCAGGAGAAAGGGGGAGGCCTCATGGGGGTTATGTCAGAAAATATCCACCATTGCAGCATGTCAATAACACAACATTTACATACTTGGCTATTGATATATCAGTGTGTAAAACTGAGCTGGCTTTTTTCCCGTTAATCAGGACTATATTTGGTACTCCTCCCTGACGGGTTTGCCTGCTTAAGCTTCTCGAACAGATAAACAACTTTTGAAAAGGAAGAACTGTTCCTTCCACACAAAACACTACTCTAAAACGCAGCCAATGGTGGAGGACCATCTTAATTTGAGCACATTGAGTCTATTCTTTAGACATCTACTTAATTCAAAGTAGATGTCCCAGAATTCATTTTAGTGACAGGCTATTCACTGCCGGTTGCAGACAGAGCAGTGTAAATGTGTCCTTCTTTCATCTGGGTTTTTTTTATTTTATTTCTTGTGGATTTCCACATTGCTGATGTCTTTTTTACATCCTATGCCATAAATGACGCAGGCTGTGAAAGAGCACCAGGAGGCACAAAGACAATTTGAAATAACACAGTGCCCAGGGTCAGAGCTTATGTGCTCCTCATGGGAGAACCACACAACCCAGAGAGTACAACACCAGAGCAAACACAGCTGCTGCTTACTTCATTCCAGTCACTTATACAGGGATAAAGATGTAATCATCTCTTTCCTCAACATTTGACATTTTTGCTTCTGTAACAACATATTGTCTGTGATTTGTGTTTGTCGTTGTGTAAGTTTGCATCGGGCAAAGTTATGTGTGTGTGCCATCTGTTCATTTGTTCCTGCTTATTCCCATGTCGAGCAGTATTCCAGTCAGCGTTGTTGTTAAGGAGCAGTTACCGTCAAGGAGCAGTTGCCGTCCCAGGAGTGAGAGAGAGGGTGCTGATGTGTTGTTGTTATTGTCTTCATCTTCAAATGGGGATTGCTCTGGCCACCTATACTCCTTATGCTGCACTGATGCTGCTGCTTGGAAACTATGTTAATGACTTTGGTCACTGGTCTGTGCTGCTGCTCTGAATATGTGTCTTTATGAAATAGGCAATAAAGTCCAGCTCTTTCCTTTGAGCCTCTGTTATCAGAATCTCAATAACAAAAAGGATGAGGAAGAAATCAAATATAATGTCATTGTTGAGTCCATCTCAAAATTTAAGAGTGAGTTTAACAATACATATCTAATATTTGAAAAACATATTTCTAGAATTACACTCTCTCAGACTAATATTTTATTGTTGGGTTCAAATTTTATCTGCTGATATTTCATATTTAGCAAACATTGATGAATAGTGTATCCTAATAACAATGCTCTTAACTCTAATAGATGGATGGCTGGGTATTGAACAATCACTACAGATAGTCAGGCACTGCAGTTAGATGTCTAATAAGATTTTAGTGCAATGTCGGCAAACAGCATGTTCAGATTAATTAAGAAAAAGCTTTGGTCAACACACACTTGACCCTAATTGTGAAGTTTACCTTACATGATGACAGCAGAATGTGTTATTTTCTGCACATTTAGAGGCAGTTATCTTACGATTCATATCTCCTGCTTTTATTTTTACTGTGTTTTTAATCTGTTGCAAAGTGTGTGTTTACTGAGTGTAATTTGAAGTCAGTGTTTGATAATCTTCAAAAATGGAATCTAGCTTCCTCTTAATGTTGCTACTTGCTTAGTGACCCCTGTTTTAATCCCCCCCTTATCTCGCTTTTCCTCTTTTCTTCTCTGTCTCCTTCACCTCTGGCCCTAAAACCACCCCCACCCCACATCCCTCATATTCACCCTAACCTCTCAGGGGGGTGGTGAGACCTGAGCTGGCCCTGAGCCCAGGCCCATTAGCCCCAGCCTGGCAGCCATGTGCTCATCACCAGAGATCATTACACCCAGCAATGACACCACTCTAATGCATCATTAATGATTGATTAACGAGCTGAGCTCAGCCCAAACGGGTGCATTTGTATGGAAGAGCCCCCTGTAATGGCTGAGCAAGACTTACACATGCTATTTTTTTACCATGTTGTGTGTGCTTGTGTGTGTACTTTTTTTCACATCAGTCTCCCTCTGTGTCCCTTCTCTAAGGTTGAGTAAGAGAGCTGCAGACGCCAGTGTGTGTAACGAAGGACTGAAGGGGTGACCACAGGGTAGTGTGATGGCGGGGAAGGGGCTTTCCGCCCCTCTCCATCTTCTTCCTCTCCTACTCATTTTGGTGGGAATCCTTCCTGTGGCCCAGGGCTCTGGCTACCTTTCTGGATATCGCCAGAGGTCTCGTCTGCAGAGGGACCGCCACGCCCGCAACATCCGACCCAACATCATTCTCATCCTCACAGATGATCAGGACATAGAACTGGGTGAGACTTTCCTCCATTCATCCTTTCCTGTGTGTGTGTGTGTTTACTGTTTGTTTGTGCATCTGTCTCTCTCTGTTTGCTTTGTATCCATATCCCATGGGTATGGGTATTCACTCTGTGTTCATCCAACAGCATCAGCAAGGGAAAGTCAGCCTAATGCTTCCTCCTGGCACCATAACAACTGGCCCACTCGAAGTCATGTGCCCCCCTTGCCAACCTCTCCATTGCTGGCATGAAATGAGGGCGGCCTATGGCTTCCATTGTCTGAGTGCCAAACCCTGGCCATCTCCCTTCCAGCTTAAGTCCTTTAGCGGCGTATTGGACTGGAGTGGCTGCATAATGGCCTCTGTGACACCCTTTGTCCTCCTGTGATCGCTAGTGAGAGGACTCCCATTGAAAAGCAGGAATTTATGGTCAAGCATCTGTTTCCCCAAACAATCACCATCAGCCTGAAAAGCTTGGAGTACACAGGAAACCGAATGAGTCACACTTTACCAACAAGATTTGTTCCCTCGTTTATTTTTCCTTTTTCTTTTTATCCTCCATGTCTACAAGGGTTTCTACTCGTCCTCATCAAACCCTTATTTACATTTTCGCCCTACTAGTTACCTCAATATCACAATTCTTTTTTTTTTCTTTTCCAACTGTTTTATGTCCATCTGTGGCCTTTTCATTTGCATTCTGTCCTTGGCCTTTGAATCTCCTCTAACCCCTTTAACCCTCTCTTGCCCCTCTCTGCTCTGTTTTCTCCCAGGCTCAATGCAGGCCATGAACAAAACCCGGCAAATCCTGGAGAAAGGCGGCACACATTTCTCCAATGCCTTCTCAACTACTCCCATGTGCTGCCCCTCCCGCTCCTCCATCCTGACAGGAAAATATGTGCACAACCACCACACCTACACCAACAACGAGAACTGCTCCTCACCCTCATGGCAGGCCCACCATGAGCCGCACACCTTTGCTGTACATCTCAACAATTCTGGCTACAGGACAGGTGAGCATTGCAAGTGCGATGTTCAAATGGGTTAACCGGCGCATTGATCTCTTGGACCAAAATTAACATGCTGCGCCCCTGTCCTCTCTTTAGCCTTCTTTGGAAAGTATCTGAACGAGTACAACGGCTCCTATGTGCCCCCTGGCTGGAAGGAATGGGTAGCACTGGTTAAGAACTCTCGCTTCTACAACTACACCCTCTGCAGGAATGGAGTACGAGAGAAGCACAGCAGTGACTACGCAAAGGTATTTTTCACTCCATTAGAGAGGTGTCACATCTACTTCCCCTGAATGACGGCCTGCATGGAAGTGAAATGGAATGTATAAAAAATTCAGAGTCATTTTATGTGGTGAGAGGTCTTTAGTTTGAATGCTCAGCTAATGTAAGCGTCTTGTTACCTTCCAGTGATAATTATTATTATTTTTATCCTGTCTTAAATGCAACTTATGTGGATTTTAGAATTTCTCAAGGTTCAAGGTAGTTAAACTGTCATACTCAGGAATATTTGGCATCTCCATCCAAGTCAGTCATGGCCCCTCAACCAGTAAAGTACTGACAGCTTTGACATCTGCTCTTTTGCTATGTCGCTCACTGAGCGCCTGATGGACAATGTCTGCTGGCTCCACAGGACTACCTGACAGACATCATAACCAACGACAGCATCAACTACTTCCGTATGTCAAAGAAGATGTACCCTCACCGTCCTGTCATGATGGTCCTGAGCCATGTTGCTCCGCACGGTCCCGAGGACTCCGCCCCGCAGTACAGCTCTGCCTTCCCCAACGCATCACAGCACATGTAAGACTATGAGTGATTTCAGAGGCTTTATGATGACTCGTACAAGGAGCAGTCAGATTGTTACTGATTTTAGAATATTCTATGACAGCAGAGAGCTTGAACTGGGGTTTCCTTCCCCAATTAAAATAAACAGATTTAATTCAAATGTTTCACAGCAGAGAGACACATGGGTTGAATTTATGCACTCTCATATCCACCTTTCTTTGCTCACTTATGAGTCATCAACACATTCACACTCCTTTTCATTCGACCCAGAATGACAAAAATTCTATAATCTTAGCTCGATCTTATCTTCCACAGCCTGCAGTGTGCTCTTGGCAGCTGAGCACTCTTGCGCGCAGCCAGTGTTTCGCTCCAGTTTGTTTGGCTCATGTGTTGTTCACATTAGTGTTACCACTGTAATGAGTCATGCTCATTTGTACCGATTTGTCAGTCACGATCAAAGAGAGGCATAAATCACCTTTGTTTAATGCATAGGTAAAGATAAAGTATAGACAACTTCTCAGCCGTTGTCTTCCTAGCTGCCATGCTCCTCACTGGCTAGAGCTGCTGGCTTATAGTAGACCTGCTATTGGCCTCAAGAGAATGATCCAAGGAAAGTAATGAGACTGCAGTTACTGACCCTCCCTCCAACCCCATCACACCCTCCTCCTGCTCCATCGAATCCCCCCAGCATCATTAACCTGTGCCACGCAGACTTTATGCACCAAATATTCTCAAAATTCAGCCCCAGTGTCTTTGTATAAACTTTTAATTGCTCTTTCTCCATATATTTGCTCTCCCTGAGGTGACGTTTTCTGAGAGCGCGTCTCTGGCTATTTTTCTCACTTCATCTCCCTCTGCCCTTATCAACCACATAAAGAGAGAAGGGCTGTAAAAGTCTTGCACTTCTATGGTGTTAAAACATCTTTTCACCTTGGCACCTTGCAGACACATCTTCACACTGCATTAGAGTTACCACAGGCTGTGAGACATAAACATTTTTTTAAAGTCAAATCGATTAGCTCTAAATGTTGTATATATTTTCTTCTTTGTTCCTATTAGCTGTTTAGCAGTGTTTATTCTCTAATAATTAAAGTTCCACATGCCTGCAGTTAATTATTGATCACAATGTGCTCACTGCGTACAGGCCTATCAATTGCGTTGCTTTGCATTTTCCAAGGTTTATTTAACCTCTAGTTTAGCAAAGTATAAACACTTCTCTGGCTTTTTTGCCAGTAAAGATGAATAGATATTAGCACACACAGGCAGAGAATGTACGATGTAACGTTTCACACATTGGCAATTTGCCATAACCCCTCTTGTAGCTATAGAATATGAAAATGTAATAACTACAGATGGATAAAGCAGCTGGATAAAAACATGACATATACTTGAATAAAATAAGCAACAAAATAATAATTTACATTTCTCGTCCTCTTCTGTTTTCAGAACTCCCAGCTACAACTATGCCCCTAACCAAGACAAACACTGGATCCTACGCTACACAGGAGCTATGAAGCCCGTCCACATGCAGTTCACTAACGTGCTGCAGCGCCGGAGGATGCAGACCCTGCTGTCTGTGGATGACAGTGTGGAAAAGGTAGGCTGGTGGACATGTGCTTAAACAAAAAAACTCACAAAATACACACACACACACACACACACACACACACACATACACACATGCACTTTTCATCTGACAGTCTCAAGTCCTGAGAGATCTGTGCTTGTTCTGACTGGGACTCCATAATGTATTCACTGACACACTTGGTGAATTGTTCAATTGCTTTTCCCTGAAACTGGCACAGGAGATTTGAGTTATCACACATAAAGTATAACTTTTATGCTGCGTGAGTGCTTAATGATTATATCCTCCTCTGTAGGTGTACAATATGTTGATGGAGACAGGGGAGCTAGACAACACCTACCTCATTTACACCTCAGACCATGGATACCACATCGGCCAGTTTGGTCTGGTCAAGGGCAAATCAATGCCTTATGAGTTTGATATTCGGGTTCCTTTCTATGTTAGAGGACCTAATGTGGAGCAAGGTGTTACGTGAGTGACAATAATATGTTTCTGTCTTTTAAGAGACACCGTGTTTTAGTATTATATGCTTTATGTGAGGTCACTATATCTAATTCTTTCTTCCCTGCAGTAATCCTCACATAGTGTTAAACGTAGACTTGGCACCAACTCTGCTGGACATGGCCGGTGTTGATATCCCTGCTGAAATGGATGGCAAGTCTATCCTTAAGCTGCTGGACACAGACAGGCCAGTCAATAGGTGAACACGCATTTAAATTATTTTGCTCAGTGTCCTGTCATTCAACGGACGCATTAGAATCTCACTTTAAATGTTGTTATATTAGTGACTACAGTATAACCCATAAAATATTTTTTATAGGACTTTATCATGCTATCATAAATTTATTTTCTAGGTGTCCTGGACATAATGAAACATCAAGCCAAATACATCCCTAACATCCTTTTCTTCTTCATACAAAGATGACATTTAAAAGCAGGTACATGTTTGTTCAGTGTTTATATCACAGTGTAGTCTGATCGGCATTTTGTTTTTTCTCATCTTCCAGGTTTCAGCTGACTAGGAAGACTAAGACTTGGAGAGATTCTTTCCTGTTAGAGAGAGGGTAAGTTTTATTGATTGACCTTTTCCAGGAAAGGTTCTCATTCCGCGCATTTTCTTCTGGTGACATCCGTCTCATTGTTTTTGATTGGTTGAAAAAAAATGCAATATGTTTTGGTGTTCTTTCAGGAAGCCTCTGCACAAGAGAGCTGATGGGAAGGAAATGGCCCAAGAGGAGAACTTCCTGCCAAAATACCAGCGAGTGAAGGACCTGTGCCAGAAAGCAGAGTACCAGACCTCATGCCAGCAGCCAGGACAGGTACCTGACCTGCAGGAGCCAAGAAAGAGAGTCGTATAAGAATTCAAGAGACCCACATGGAGTGAAGCCGAGCGAGTTGATAATTTAGTTTACGGTTGACAATTTACTTAGTCTTGTACAATGTAATTGTACTCTTAGGGATCCTTTTGATGCCAGAATCTCTTTTTAAAACCATCTTAATGAAGCACTAATTGTGTAAAAAAAGGTTCTCTGATTGATACGACAATATGGATTACACTTTTGTTTTGAATTATGTTTTGCAGTGTAAGGGTTCTCTACAGAGATATCTTCTCTGAAGCATTACTATATTATATATATATATATATATATATATATATATGTTTATCAAAATGATGTTATGCAGTAGTAAAAGAAAAAGATCCAGCATCATGAAATGTCCCTGTGCCTTGTTTCAGAAGTGGCAGTGTGTGGAGGACCCGACTGGCAAGCTGAGGCTGTATAAGTGCAAGGGCATGGCTAGTCTCTATGCCCCGCGTATGCAGGCTCTGATGGCCAGAGGTGCCTCTAATCTGGCTCCCACTTTGAACTCGGAAACCTGTAACTGCGCGGATGTGGGCTTTAAAACATCAGTGATGAAAAGGAAGAAGCTTCTCACAAAGAAGAGTGAGTTTCTTTTGTCACTCACACTTATCATTGTCTTCTAGTTATTAATAGATCTGATTTTGTTCTGAAAGACACTTGGAAATGTCCTTGCAGTAGCCTACAAAGCCGTGAAAAACAGGGTCATTAATCTCAAACTAAAATAACCAGCTTTTGAAAAATTCATGAGATGTGGAGTATGTGTTTGTGCTGCCATCAAGTGGTGTATTAGGGTAGCCAAGTGAGCATTTCATCATAGAGCATTGAAAGAAAAAAATACAAATAATGATTAAATTATTCACAGAATATGACCAAATCATCAGACCTGGCAGAATAACATCACATTGTACCACTTTGATATACAATATCTTCACTTACAAAATTGAAAATAATACAGTAAGCAGACTTTTAATCAATGATATAAGTGACCATCTACCAGTTGAGGAAATCACAACATCTATAGATCACAAAAAACATACAGGGGAGGTTTTCATTGATCTTAAAAAAAGCTTTAGACACAATTTATCTTAACATACTTATACATAAACTGGAATGGTATGGCATCAGGGGGTGGTTTTAAAATCGGTACAATGCTATATAACTAACAGGCAACAGTTTGTGAAGCTGGGAAATTCCTGTTCTTAATGTCTGGGCATTGCTTGTGGAATCCCCCAGGGGTCAGTGTTGGGGCCTAAACTGTTTATATTATATATTAATGATATATGTAAAGTGTCAAATGTTTTGAAATTGGTAATGTTTGCTGATGATACCAACGTTTTTTGTTCTGGAGAGAACTTACATAAATAATTGATGGAATTCACTTCAGAAATTAATAAATTAAAGATCTGGTTTGATAGAAACGCATTATTATTACATTTAAACAAAACTAAAATGATGTTATTTGGTAACTGAAAAACTAATACTCAGGTTCAAATACAGATAGATGGGGTAAACATTGAAAGAGTTTAGGAAAATAAATAGCATTTTAATAGATGAAAAAAATAATTGGAAATCACACATACAACATACAAGTCAAACTGTCTCAGAGCATTTCAGATTTGGGGGCCGCACATGCCTGAGTTCACTACATCCACTTTTCACACTTCAAAAAAGAGCTATGAGGATCATTTTCAATGTCAGATTTTGGGATCACACACACTCATTATTCATACAGTCAAAACTATTAAAGTTTGAAGATCTTATAGAATTCAAAACAGCACAAATAATGTACAAAATAAAATGTGCTACCACAAAACATTCAGACATTGTTATATGATTGAGAAGGGGGAAACAATTTAAGGGGTAAACTTATCTTAACCCTCCTACAACCCTAGGATTTGTGTTACACCTTTTGCCCTACGACGCAAAAAAAAAATGCTCCACTAAAGACTGCCATAGAAAAATGTTCTGTTAATGTATAATTCAATTTTTTTAATGGTTACTATTATTAACTTTAGTCCTCACCATACATAGCAAATATTCATTGTGTTTCAATTATCCAATCCACTTAAAGACACCAAACAAGAGTCAACAGCAGAATATGCTTTTTGGCATTGGCAGAGAAGATTTGTCACGTTTTTTATGGCCGCAAGCCACATACTCAGCTCTGCTGCTCATCCCACAAATGCATGTTCCTTACAAATGTGGCACCATTTAAAAGGGAAATAAACAGGCTTTCCAAGGGTATACGATTGATTGCCAAGACGCATTGTTACAACAAAGAAATAATCTACCAAACACAAATTTCCTTACATTTTGTGTAGTGTTTATAATAAATGCTACACCTTTGGCCCTGTTTCCCTGCAATATCACCTGTGTAAACAAAGACATACTAACAGGCTTTTGTTTTGGTTACTATGTCTGTAAAACAGTAAAACTAAATTTCCAGTCCCTCACTATCATGGATCCATGAAATTAAAAAAAAAATATCATACCACAATGGCAGTGTATTAAAAAAAATTGTTTCAATGGGAGTCAATGGCACAAAAAAATGACGAAGGACTAAAGGTGTGATTATTTTTTTTTAACATAGTGTATTCAAGAGTTGAGAATTTTTTTTTAATTCAACCCAAATACACACCTGTGGCATAATTTATGCATCAACACAGCCAAAATTATCCACATTTATCTTTAAACGTCAAAAAATGCACTAGGACTACAGGAGGGTTAAAAACACTCAGTGTACGTACAACTAAAAAAGTTTTTTGTAGAGTGAAGCTGTGGAACAGTCTAAATGTGGAACTCAAGCAATATCCAGACATGAAACAGTTAAAAAAAAAAGGGTTATAAAAATATTATTTTCACGAGGTACAGGGATGAAGAAGGACTTTGAAAATGTCTAATTTAATATTTAGGAGTGTTTTCACACATGCATGTGTGTATAAGTATGAGTGTAGTTTCTTGTATGTGTATGTATTTGTATAATTATACTGTATAGGAATTATGTACAACCATATATTATACACTATATGTTTTATACTTAGATGAATAAAAATGTTTGAATGAATGGAGAATGGGTGGGATTTAAATAATGTATGCTTCTTCCCACTCCTTTTCCAACATGTATATTGATATAGAAAGTATTTGAGCTTCTTTTGTATGATGTCGTTCATTGTTTGTACATGTTACTTGTTTTTCACTTTTTTTCTGTCTCCTTTTTTAAAAAAGTTTTCTTCCCCCTTTTTGATTTTTTTTTTTTTTTTTTACATGTCCGTGATAAACTTAACTAAACAGCACTCCATCTGAACACTGGTTCTTATTAAGATGTTTTAATTGCCACGTGTTGGTCTTCATTTCTCATCATTATAATAGACCTTCAGTATCAAAAATATATTACATTTTTCATCCCAGGTTCTTCACTCTCTCTTGTTTTATCCAGAGATTAAATCCAGTAAGACTGTCTCTAGGAAGCGCTGGGCCCGCTCTGTGTCCTTTGAGCTGGACGGAGATCTGTATGCAGTAGACTTAGAGGAGGGCTACCGGCCCCTGGGCTCCACGAACAGCAGTTGGGCTAGAGACATGACTGGAACAGAGGGAAATGAGGAGGACAATGAAGAGTTCAGTGGCATGGGAGTCACAGCCAAACCCACAACCAGCAATAAACTCACAACTCCTGCTGCGCTGAAAGTCACCTACAGGTGCTGCTCTGTTTTTTATCTGTCTACTTTAATGTGCAGTGATTTTGTGATAAAAAAATAAATTAATAAAGGGCTGTTATTAATTTAAGACATATTGCATATTTAAGGTTTAATTTAATATATTATTATGTTAATATCCTACAGGTGTTCTATTCTCATGAATGACACAGTTAAATGTGATGGAGGCCTGTACAAGTCACTTCAAGCGTGGAAAGACCACAAACTGCACATTGAGCATGAGGTACGACATTCTCTTCCTTTTAAAAACAAACCATTAAACCAATTTCACAGGTTTGTAGTCACTTTTAAAGTATAATGAGTTATGGGTGACTTTATGGCTGTTTCCTCTGTGCTTAGATCGAAACCTTGCAGACCAAAATCAAGAACCTGCGGGAAGTCAAAGGTCATCTGAAAAAGGTGCGGCCCGAGGAATGTCAGTGTGACACCCCCAGGTGAGAATGTGTTCTGACCACACTGTCATTGGCAGAAACATTTCCAGTCAAAAGTTTGGACACACAACAGTACCAGTATTATCAATAATACAGTATACTATATGATTATAATATAGCTACAGTAAGCTGTGTCTAGGACTAACCTACTAATAGAAGGGTTGTTCTGTCTTTTTACTATTTTCTACATTTTAGTATAATACTAGATATTAAAACAATACAAATAAAACATTATATTTTTGTTTTTGATAGAAATGCAGACATACGTAGGCACCAACTTCACTATTTCTGTTTATATAAGAAACACATGTCAAACATTAAAGCATAAGCCTTTAGATCAAAATGTCTTGAAGATAATAACATGCATTTCAATCAGGTGTGTCCAAACATTTGACTGGTAGTGTAGATGTCATCACATATGTGACAATTGTTTTTGTCTTAACAGTTATCTGTTGGAGAATAAGGACGATCTCAGGCTCAACACAGGGCGCGTACATTCACACAGGTAAACATTGAAAGTGTTACTGAAAGAATTATTAAATTTTTTTCACTCTTACAGTCTCATTGCATTGTTTGTAATGTATTCCTATTAGAATGCCATCAAAGCAGAAGAGTCAGTGGTTGCAGAAGGAGCAGAAGCGCCGGAAAAAGTTACGTAAATTCCTCAAGAGGCTCCAGAACAATGACACCTGCAGCATGCCTGGCCTCACATGCTTCACCCATGACAACCACCACTGGCAGACACCCCCCTTCTGGACAAGTGAGGAATAACATGTCACTTTATTTAGGGATTGGAAAAATATTATTAACTTTAAAAGATTTTCCAAAGCAGGAAGGGTAAAACACATTTTTGGATCAGAGTTGTGATATCCTTTGTTTTCCACTCTCACCCCTCCCTGCCTCACCCACTCCCATCCACAGTGGGACCATTCTGTGCATGCACCAGTGCCAACAATAACACTTATTGGTGCCTGAGGACCATCAATGACACACACAACTTCCTGTTCTGTGAATTTGCTACCGGTTTCCTGGAGTATTTTGACATCAACACTGACCCATACCAGGTACTTCAAATGCACACACACGTTGTACCACACAGCATAAATAACTCAGATAATACAGAAGATATAACCATACAATGATTCAGAGTACCTTCCTGTGAGCACAGGGTATACAGATTTTCAAATGTTTTCCAGGCTTTTTAAAGTCTTCCTAGACTTTGCTAACATGTTGTTCTAATTGTTCCATAGCTGATAAATGCTGTCAGCACACTGGACCGCAATGCTCTGAATTCAATGCATCAACAACTCATGGACTTAAGGGGCTGCAAAGGACACAAGCAATGTAACCCAGAGAAGGGTCAGTAAAGGGTCTCCAAGGCAAACATGATTAATGAGAGTAGATCCATCAATGCGACTAATGTTACCTCTACTTCCTTTCAGGAGGAAAAGAACGAAACTACTTCAGTGAATACAGGTATTTTCTTCTTCCCTTTACAGCACAGCTGATTACTTTTACAAACTCTACAGATGGAATTTGTGTTAGAGTTTGAACTCTGGGAAGTTACAGCCTCCCAAGGGTGTCTTTGGCTATGTTTCTTCTGACTGCAAGACATCTTGGGAGTCTAGAAAATAAAATACTGAGATGTTGTGATGAAATTGAACCACATCAAACGGTCTTGGTTCCCAAATCCTTACTGTTGTGCTCAAAGTCTTCTCATTATGGAGAAGCAGAAGCCAAAGAGGGCCAAAACACAAGCCTGCTTTAAAGCTTCTGCTGTTCCCCTTTGTAATAAAGCCTAATGTCTCTGCTGTGTCTGTGTGTGTGTGCGTGTGTGTGCGCCCATGTATGTGTGTGTTCTGTGTGGATGTATGTATGTTCTGTGTGTGTGTGTGTGTGTGTGTGTGTGTGTATATATCTGTTTGTCTCCATGCACGTGCATTTGCCCTGCACGTGTATACGTGCTGTGCATGCTTCAGGCCAGTTCACCGTCGAAAGAGGCCAAAAGTGAAGAAGCCTTCCTCCAAATCGCTGTGAGTTTGTCATAACCCATCTGTTCCCTTGTAGTCAGCCAAGCCCTTCTCCTTTCTCCATCCAGACTTTTTTAAGCTTGGTCAGATGACCAAGCAGCATGCTGCCTCTCTTCCATTTACTGTAACACTCTACCCTATTCTTACAGTAACTATCACTTACCTGCATTGCAAAGCTGCACCATGTTCCTTCTTATTCACTCTTAAGTCTATTTCAATAAAGCAATGCAGGTGGAACATTGTCTCCGCATGTTGTGTTTCATTCTTGTTACTGTCATTTCTTACTCTTCCTAGTAGGAACAGGCCCTAACTGGAGCCATGGTTTCCAGTGAATGCCTCAAGCGACACATTGAACTCTAATAAACTGTTTGTTTTCTTTACACAGAGGGCAGATATGGGAAGGTTGGGTAGGTTAACTACCTGCATCCCACAACCCACAACATTTGCCTCCTCCAGTAAAGAAAGGAGAAGGGGAAGTGAACACGTATGTGAGGACCTTGACCCCACTTGGATGGACCATAACATTACCTGGACATTACCTTACTGTAAACTAGGTTTTTTATTCCTGAGATCGCTGCTCTGTAACTCTGGTCCATATGGAGGTGATGCTAGGACTGAGAGGAAGCATCTCGTCTTCCATCAAGACTCTGTAGTTGTCACTTCAATCTTCAGACATATTTCCTCCTCATTAAAAACCTTTGTAACCAGAATCTGCCAGGACCATTAACACAAACAGGATGCTGTGAGTCAAAGGTGCCGTCTGGTGTCCACATGCCACTGTTTAACAATTTGCTTGTACATAGTATACATACCTGTTTTAAAAAGATTTCTGTCATATCACATTGGACTTGGTGGAAACACGATCTGTTACAAGTCACCTCTGCTGCTACATAAAGACGTCATGGCCTAATGATGTCTCTTTGACACAAGCTGATGAGAATAACACAAGGCATTTTTTATTTCTCTGCACCATCGTGTCTGCACATGGAAGTGGTATGGACTTTAAAAAGCCAATGGTAACAAACTCTTCACCATACTATTTTTTATTATAGTTGGTTTTAAAGCTGATGAATGTCCTTCCTGACGCATCATCTCCCTGAAAGCTGTGAGGTGTAAGTTGACCAGAGACTGCCTGCCTTGATCCAGTCCCCTCCACTGTCAGTCACACTTGTAAAGGACTACACTAACCATTATCTCAAAAACGATACGGTCGAAAACCTCCAGAATATTTGACCACCGTCAGAATGCGTCATCAGTGAATGCCATTTTACTCCTTTGTATTGTCGGTACCACTCTGTAGAATGATCAAATAGTTTGTTCAGCGTCCTATACATGGTGCTACAGGATAACAATACAGAAGTAAACTTTTGCTGTACAGTACAGTATGTATCTGAATGTATGTTGTGCAATTAATATAAATGTTTACAATATTTTTTATAATAGAGGACAGGAAGACCTCATTGTATGAAATGAGTTGAAAGAATGGATTTATAAGGAGAAATGTAGCTTGAGAACTTGTATTGCCCGCAATTATACGTTTGTTCTTTACATCAGAAAAGCACTTAAAGGTTTCACTGTGAACATATGCGCCAAATTTAATGGATATATCGTTTACTCTGTGCCAGATGAACATCACAGCTGTGTAATGCTTAGGCGTATTGGTGTGAATTACAGCTACCTGCCTTTGTAAGCTTCTTTGATTTATTTTAGCAAGTATTTCCGTAGACTTGAGTGCTGATTGTAATTGTGAATAAAGTGTCGTTTGAACATGAATGTTGCCTGATGTTTATTCTGAATGTCCGTGGTTGTTTGTGTTCATGTCCAGCAGGGGTCTCTGTCTGCTTGTCCACAGGCTAACAGAGCTACATGTTCTTCTTCAGAGCTAACAGCAATACAAAGTGGACATGTAGCCTTTTGTCTGTATCATAGACATGGATGAGGTCTTACATGCTCGCTGATTGGCTGAGTTAATTGGAAATGAGTTGAACTTAAAACGTTCCTAACATGGTATTCAGAAACCTCTCATCAAAAAGTAGTCTATTCTAAATGTATTTCACTAAGCAACCGCAGGGGTTTACTTCACTTTTCAAGATGTCAAGGGCTACATTTTCAAGCCAAGATAATAGCCAATATGTCTGACGTATTTAGACATATCAAGACTGGCTAAAAAAAACAGATATATGCATTTGTGTTATTGAAAACAAAAGTTCAAAGTAAGTTTATAATGTTGTTTATTTTGGTGTCTTTGAATGTAACTATATTTCTTAAACTAGCCTAGAGGAAAAGTGTGGCGAACGAATGTGGTAGTCTATAGTATATATTACTATATATTTACTGAGCCCAGAAATGTTTTGGTTATGGTTTACTCTTTCCAGCCATCCAGTTGAGCGGATCGTGTGTGTGTGCGCGTGTGTGTGTGTGTGTGTGCGCGTGTGTGTGCGTGTGTGTGTGTGTGTGTGTGTGTGTGTGTGTGTGTGTTGGGGGGGGGGGGTCAGACTGGGCGACCCTCTTCCCAACCTATGACTCACGTGCAGAGGCGGGGACTCCATATCGGATTCACCACCGGAGGAGGACCGTCCCATACTCTCTCTCCAAAGACCGCCGTGTATGCGACGAACATTTACCTTTACACCGATACCAGTTAAATATCGTTTTGCTTTACTCCAAGCCTCCTTTACAATGTGAAGAAAATGGCCGGGACAAGGTAAGTGAACTTTACGTTGACTTTTTAAAGCCAATGGAAACTGAATTGGGAAAAGTTTCGAGGCTGAACTCAAGTGCCAACTCCCTATCAGCTTTCTGTGTGCTTGCCCACAGTTTACAACACCACGCTTCATAGTGGAAAGTTAGCCCACCTCGTTTGAATGTTTCAGGTTTTTATTTGTGGTTTTACAACTTAACACAAGTTAAACCTTTGTGAAAATACACGACGGGACTGAGACTGTACGGCAATGTAAAGAGAGTATGTTGAAAGGTGCACTAAAAGGGTAATGTAGTTTGCTAGTAAGGTCACTGTTGCTATCTTATTTACAGGAAGAGTCTTAAAAGATAGTTAAAATGTAAACCACTCTGTATCTTTCTAGCATTAAAACTTCTGGACACTATGAGAAGTTTAAAATTAGAGGTAACTGGGAGTAGTTACACACATTAAGATGTTTTCTCATAGTCCACTGCACAGCTCATTGCACCTTTTGTACATTTTGTGTTTTTTATCTTTATATATTTTTTTAATTCTATTTTATATATTGTAATAGCTTCTTATACTGTACTATTTAAGTTGTTGCTAGTTCTGCTTTATTTCCTTGTTAATTGTTTAGCACCAATACACCAAGTTAAATTCCTTGTATGTGTAAATGTACTTAGCAATAAACCCTGATTCTGATTCTGATCTGAAATAGTGGGGGTGACAGAGCAAACTTTCTTCGTTTATCTATGATGACGAGCCCTACATTTGATTTTCCTTAGTCCGTAAATTGTCTGAGCTAATTTGTCTGAAGTCTTTTGGTGTGGTGAGGAAAGCAATAACCTAAACGGAAGGCAAATGTTCCAAAGCCCATTTGTTGCTGCACTTTTTACTGGGTTGTTGTAACTGGGACTCTGAGGTTCAGCTATACTGGTTTGATCTCCCCCATAGATCTCCACATGTTGGATTTATTTAGCATCTGCTTCTAGTGCAGATGTGTGTTAAAATGTTGTTTCATCGTTTCCTTGAGACAGATGCTTTGCTTTAGTATTCAGTCTAAAGCTATCTAAAGAGATCTAGTTATAGGATATGTTATTTTGGTTCCTGTGAAATTATTCTTCAACTGTTTTGGCATGACAGCCTTTTATTCCCTCACATGCTTTTTAGTATCCTACTTTGACTTTATGAAGTACACACTTGATAGCTTTTAATGCCTAAAGAAGAAAGTTATTAGGACTTTCGATGCCTTGATATTTCACCTCCCTCTTCTATTTGTACTTCCTTTTGAATACTATGCCATGGATTCAGTTTGACAACCACGCTTACCAGTCAGATGTCATTTATACAGCCTGAAGCTGTTTGTTTTGTCACGCAATGCCAACCTGACTTCCTTGGTATAGCAGTTTCACCACCTGCCAGCTGGTGCTCATCCATGACTGTGTTGGTTTTTTTTTTTTTGGTGGACGTGTTAACCTCTCTGTATGTCTTGGGCTCTATCTTTATCTGTCCAGCAATACATGACAAATGGAGCGGGCGTCGTGGTGCAACAATTGGTGTTTCCTGCAAAAACTATAGTCAACTGGTCATAGGCTTATCAATGTGAGGGGGCACAAATGACAATGGGATGTTTGTCTTACTGTTGGTCCTCTCAACAATAACCACACACAAAGAAGCATAGAGTGTGTCCCTGTGACAATATGAATCAAAATATTGGTCTTTTGCTAAGGACAAGGCAGGATATACAGAGGATTTGCCATTGGATTGGACAAATATGTTTGCCTGTTGAGAAAAGGCGTTTTTTAAGCTTGTGCTCCTGTGATCACTGCTTGTTATGACATGCTAAATGTGATCACTGTGGATTATTTATTTTTTTCAACATAAAGCATCAACTCATATTTTCCAGCTTTCACTCCTCACTTTCATGCTTTCTGTACTGTAATCCTATACCAAACAGGTGTTTTATTAGACTTTAATTCTCAGTAGCCTGCCACAGTAACTCCATAATGAGGTTAAGGTGATTTGCCCAAACACATTTATCTGTACCTGTTCACCCTCCGCCATCTCTAGCCTTTCCTCTGTAAGGATTACAAACTGGGTTAAACTCCTGGCTCACATTAGATTGAACTTGATGCTAAGAGTGCTGATCATCACTCTCTAGCATTACATGGGATAATAACTTGTTGAACGATCATATGCTCAGATGGGCAGTAAGTAAGAACAAGTCTTCTGCTTTGAAGAGTTGAACAAGTCAGTATAATCATAGTAAGCTTTGGGAGTGAAGAGCTCCATACAGGAAGTATACAAGAACATAAAAAACTATCATAGTACACATGCCAAAAGTTTAGCAAAAACAAAATGTGTTTGGCTGCTTAAATGCAGGATCACAGTTATCTCTCTCAACAACAACAACCTCAAAAGCAGTTCTTATTATTAAGTATCTGTGCATTCTGTGCATCTCTAGACGTGATGGCCTCTTAAATCATAATCCACACAAATGTCCCTCTGGCCCAGACTGAACCAGCTTTAACATCTTCACCAGACTGCCCTGCTTTTGGAAGCCTGGAGGGCCTGTAGTCTGCACCTTCACTTCCTCTAGAGGACAATCAGGAGGTCTCTTTCCTGTGTGGTTCCTTGGCTAGCCACTGACCCCCCACTCACCCTAGCTCTGCCCTGGGATTAGACTCTGGCCTCGTTTGTCCTGTCAGCAGGGGAGGATTCAGAGGGACTGCTATGGTCCAGCTCAAAATGAATTTGCAAACCGGGCGAACATGTCAGAATGGCGAATGTTTTTGGCAACACAAAGATTGCACAGTTTGAATATTTTCACTTGTATGAACCCCAAGGACCTGAAAAGATGAAGTTTGAGCAATTTATTTGTTGGGTTATTAAGCACATTACATATCTAATAAGTTAATTCATTTCTCTTGTTTGGATAAGTGACCCCATTGTTCAACCTCCGACAGCTGGTGTACTGGACAGAAAGGCCGGCTTGTAAGTGGTAAACACCCTGATCCTGCCTCAGCCTCTCCTGCACATGTTCACTCTCGTCCAGAGTCTTATCTGACCTGAAAACCCCCCATGTGGTCTTCAACTAAGGAAAGGGGTGGATTTTAGGGAGGACTTTGGGGAGGACAAGGACCTCTGTTTGGTCAGGCTTACCCCTGTAAAAGGCAATTTATTGACCCTGTGGACGAGTAGTCTCTCAGACAAATAGTGACTGTTCAGCAAGGCGGTAAGGGGGCCGGAAGTTCCCAGCTTTTCTGCTGAAAGCTGCAGTATTTGTGGGAGAAGAGTGGATGGCAGACAAGACAATACTCTCCACACAGAAACAACAGAGCAGCGCTTCTCTGGAGTTCCTTTGTAGGCGGATTACGGCGAGTATATCTGAAGTTACATTGAAGACGGCCGACACAAAAATGTTCTGCTGGATCTGGCTGCGAGGTAGGCACTATTATCTGAAATCTCATGAAGAATCAGTTTGTTGCAGTGAACAAGGAATTAATTCACTAAGACCATGTAAAATCGCTAGTTGGAAAGCAGCATGGGAAAGACAGGCCTTGCTTAAGGTTGCTGAACGATCTGATGAGATCCAGTCTAATCTGGTGCCAATGGAAAGGGGAAACTGTCTCTGGTTCTGGATTAGGGCAGCTGTTGAAGGAGGTCACCCCAGACCTCGTATACATGTCCCAGGCTCCTCCCTGCCATGGCTCTGATTGGCTGGGCCCCCTGTGTAGAGGGAACAGAGTGGGCTCTCGTTGAATGAAGTCTGCCTGTTGATTTGACAATAGTCTGCATTGTCTGTACCATCACAGGCAGCAGAACCGGGCGCATTTCACAGGCTTTGTAATGCATATGGCAGTGAGTCATCACAGGACATTCTTGACAACTAGGTAACCATTTTTTCTATTCACAGAGGGCCCAGAGACAAAAAAAAATAGCAAGAAACTTCAAGTTTACTGCAGCATAAAGGAAAAGGCTGTATTTATGCCTTTTTCTTAACCAGAACAGTGTTTTCTTGTGTCTTTCACTGACAAGAATTCAACAAAGTCTTGAATTTATTTGGGTTGCAGACATAGTAGGTTTGCATTTA